ATAAATTAGTCAAATTATCACTCATTTAATGTTTAAGAATTACATTATCGGACAAACCAGAATATAAAGTTTGGTATTTTAAAAATTAATATGACAATAATTCATATAATTAACAAAAAATTCAGAAATGTTACTCGAGTAAGAGAAGCGATACTTCATAATAAAATTACTTCAGCGTAGTAGAAATACTCCTAAAAGTATTTTTTTTAAATAAAGTTATTCCAGTAACTGTAGCTGAGTAAATTTAACTAGTTACTATCCAACTCTGGTGGTTGGTAAACCTGTTTTAATGCACTGCAAAAACACTAAATCTTACAAAGTATTTTTTATCTTATTGTGCAAATATGTGAAAATAAGACAAAACTTACTTTCAAGTAACTTTTCAGCACTAATTTTAAGTCAGTGAGTCCTTAAGAAGTTAATGAGAAAAATGTCTGCCAGAAGAACCAGCACTTTAAAAAAGTGATGTAGTATTTACTTCGTTAAAACAAGCTCTTATGTCAAAGTTGATCCAGTTTCCAAGAGTTTGTTGAAAACAACTGAACACCAGCAGAGTTTGGTAGTAACTGGTTACTTTTACTTGAGTAACTTTAGAAAAAATGTACTGGATTGTTTCCCCTCTGAATGAAAAACAAAACCTGTAGTTTTTGTTAAAGTTTCATAAGTTTTATATTGAAAGAAACTTTTTTCTCTGGCCTGAATTTGTTACTTTGTAATTATGTTATTTATTTAAAAACATATTTTCATTTTGGTCTTTAAAATACCAAAGTTTCCACACAACATCTGATGATGCAATTTTTAAATAATAAATGATTGATTACTCAGGACTTGAGTTGCCTTTTTACCAAATTATTTTTAATCTTACTTGAGTAATTTTTTAAAGTGCTACCTTTTAATTTGAATAAAAAGTATGTTGAAGTAGTACTACTTGAGTACAACTCTACCATGGTGACCAGATCATATCAGTAACATGGATAAGGTTCCCGTCACTCTCAATATAAATATAAATATAAATGCCGTCTCTTCTAGAAGACGTCATCTTTAACTTCATCTTGAACTTCAGCTAAAGCTGCAGAGGTTTAGAGCACGTGGCAAACTGGAGGCCTGCGGGCCATATGATGTGTTTTTTTAAGGAATTCACCAGAATTATTCTGACTTTAATCTCTTAAAATCAAAAGTCAGAATTCTGAGAAAAACAATCAAAATTCTGAAGAAATAAAAAAATCAAAATTCAGAGGAAAAGAGTCAAAATTCTGAGGGGAAAAGTCAAAATGGTGACCTTTGACCTCAGAGGATTAAGGCCAGAAACCTTTCCCATAGTTTGTATTCTGCCAAATTACATCAATGTGAAATGATGTTTAGGATTATTTAACTTTAAGAAGAAGTAGCAGAGGCGACTATTTATTCAAGTTTTAGAAGTTTATTAAACACATTTTACCACAGTCGGCTCTTTGAGGCGTTCATAATGTTGATTTGGCCCAAAATAGAAATGAGTTTGACAGCCTTGGTTTAGAGGAAAGCATATTAATCTGCTAGAACGGCCAAGTCAAAGTCCGGCTCACTCTTCTGGATCTTAAAGTTGAGTTTAAAGTGAAGCGAACTGGATTGCTGCGTTTCCAACAATAGACCTTTAAGTGTTTGTTCGCTGGGCTTTATTAAGCTTATTTTGTAATTTGGAGTAAACAGTTGCAAAAAAAAAAAAAAGGGCACACCGACCCAAAAAAAAAAAAAAAAAAAAGCGAGCACAAAGAAAAAGCTCAACACATGGACAGACAGGAACAGACAGAGAGACGGACACATGGATCTATATATAATATATTCCGGTGTGTGTGAGCGGTTGTGTGCACAGGCCTAAATTTTGACGTGTGTGTGTGTGGAGTGTGTTGGGTTTGTTGTGTGTGTGTGTGCGATACCTGGCCAGCAGTGGTAACAGGCTCTGAGGCCTTTAATGGGATTTAGCCCGAGGCTGTTTTATTAAGATGTCGGCTTTCCCTGCTGCCTCTGCAGCTGACACCATTCCCCACTGATACCCCCCTCCCAACCAACCCTCGCCCCCGCCGCACCACAGCCTCCAAGCTTCACACCCCCCCGCCCAACACACCCCACAAAATCCCCTCAACCCCCACCGCCCCACCCCCTGTTCCGCTTCTTACTACACCCTATAATGACCCTGCAACCACCAAATCCTCCCATCCTACAGTCTGTAACCATCCCAGTTCTCTCCTGGGTCTCTGTTTTATTTATTTTATCACTGATGTGCGGCCTAATTATACGTAACCGTGATGAACAATAGGAGAGGAGAATCCGGCCGCCTTCTGAGGCTTTTATTTATCTGTTTGTTGGTGTCTGCATGCCGACATGATGTAACGGAAAGTGAGCGCAGACTCCTGTCAGGATCTATGAGAGGGTCAACAACCAAGTGAGACCCAGAGGCAAATCGAAGAGTGGTGGAGTCGACTCCTCAAACAAGCGGAGGAGTCGCTTCTCTCTAATCCTCCGTCAGCCTGCTACACCTGAGCGTCGGTTTGATGATCTGACTCGGATAACGCTCTTAAATTCACAAATTTGAACTTTCCCAAACTGACGGTCGAGTTTTGATAGGTTTTCTTTCACTAAACCGTGAAATGGTTGAATGCCTGTTAGGAAAACAAACCTCTTGACAAAAATAAAAATAGAAATTAAAAATAAAAGTGTCCCACCTCAGTGTAGGAAATACCACTTCATGCTTTTCATAGTTTGTTCCAAATTTCATGACTTATTGTGTACTTTACTACCAATACGCATGTCGGTCCGTCCATCTATCTATGCCCAACTATCTCTAGCTATCTATCGCTAGCTAACTATCTTTACATATCTAACTTTAGCTAGCTAGCTATCTCTACCCATCTAGCTCTAGCTAGCTACCACCTATCTATCTCTAGCTATCTAGCTAGTTATTTCTACGTATCTATCTCTAGCTAGCTAGATATCTCTACCTATTTAGCTCCAGCTAGCTATCTTTACATATCTGTCTCTTGCTAGCTAGCTATCTACATATCTATCGCTAGCTAGCTATCTCTACCCATCTAGCTCTAGCTAGCTATCTTTAGCTAGCTACCACGTATCTATCTCTACCCATCTGTCTCTACCTATCTAGCTAGTTATCTCTACGTATCTATCTCTTGCTAGCTAGATATCTCTACCCATGTAGCTCTTGCTAGCTATGTTCCTGTATTTTTTTTAAAATTAAAGTTGACTATATTTGTATTGCAGAAAAGGAGCATATTTGATCTAATCATCAAGATATTTCATATATTTAACATGTTATCTGGAAAAAGTTTTATTTTTCTTATTTTAACAAAATAATGATGTTGCACTAATGTAGGAGAACTTTCTACTGGAAAGAGGCCACACAATGTTAATGACAGAAATTGGTCTGCCAAATGTTCAGTTTAAGAAAGAGACAAAGCTAAACACTGAAGCCGTAACCCAGGTGTACTTTCAATGAAAAAAAGAAGAAAGAAACAGAAAGTTAATGGGAGAAATGGCTCCATCAATGGCTTTATCCAGGAAGTAGAACAAAGACAGTTCACAAGTCAATCTACAGGAATAACTCCAACAGAAACAGAGTAAAGTAAAACACATCACAGCTAGTTTAAGGATTTTTTTTTTTTACATTTTCTCAGTGTTTTCTCTAAGGATCACTGCGCCTAGAAGAAGTCAAAATCAGTCCACCTCTTTTAGACTCCAGACTTACAACAAAGGTACTCACACACTGCCAAAATACAAACTCTTGGAAGTGTTGTTGGTCTAGTTTCTAGTGCAAATTTCTTAGTACTCTTGAACTTGAAATAAGATAAAAACAAGTAAATTTTCAGCAAAACATATTTGCAAGTTTTGTGTCACTAATTGCTTAAAATTGATTTTTTAAAAAGTCAGATTGTTTCACTTGTAACAAGACATTCTTCCCTTGTTATAAGTTAAATAATTTGCCAATGGAACTAGTAATTGTTTTTGTCAATATTAAGTAATTATTCACTTAAAACAAGCTGCTATAATTTGCTGAACAGTTACTTGTAAGTTAGATTTGTCTTATTTCAGGAGTACTAAGATAATATCACTAGAAACTAGACCAACAGTACTTGGTAAGATTTTGTGTTTTTGCAGTGCTGGCTTGTAAAAAGAGCAAGTCGGCTTTATGAAGGGAATTATGAAAACACAAAAAATCAATGGCTCCATCCTGGAGAGAGACACAGCTAAACACAGACACAGTTTGGGTGGGTTTTTAAGCGCTTGGCACAAAATACTTGCAAAATCTGAATTTTGCAACAATAAGCCTCCTTTGACATATTTGATCAGGTTTCAGTGACATTAAGAAAAGAACAGGCTACTTCATCTTTATCTTTGTCTAGACAACACAGCAGTTTCATGTCTTTGTGACCAAATTATGCTCAAGGGGAACCACTCATAGCACCATCAGGGTTCAAGAAACAACTTGTGAAAAACATGAAATTCTTGCGCTGATTTGTGTCGACTGTCTTCAAAACCCAATGTGGTTTTAATAGGGGGGTTTGCTTCCCCTGTAAACGCTTCCCCTGGATCCTCCTTCCGTAAAACAGAGCCGGTAGCAGCGATCGTGTCTTGCCCTGGACCTCTAGGCGCTTCTCCTGACTGCTGCCCCCCCAGGTGCTTACTTCCTGTGCTCCGTACCCCCCAGCTCCCACCCTAAGGACCAACCCCCAGCAGAAACTGGTGCAACTCTAAGAACACACAGTCCCAGCTTTGTTCTCGCATACTGCTGGTAGCTGATATACACTCTAAAAAGATATACATGCTAATTTTCCAGCAACTTTCCGGGTCTTTCTCATGCATTTCTTTGTCTGAATGGCTGTTTTTAAAGGAGTTCAGAGTGTTTTTATATTTTTTTTTTTGTAGGTTTATGTGCATGTTAGCATGTATGTGTTTAGGAGTGTGTCTTCCTCTGGCCAATCTTGAGTGCTTTTGCTGTTTTTCCCTGGCAGGCTGTTCTGATTGGCTGGCCCTGGGGAAAGGAGATATCATGTTTAGCCCCGAACCAACATGCATCCCTCATCCACCATCCGCTGCCGCCACGATTGTGAGGAAGAGGAAAAAAAGCACGAGCGAGTGTCAGAGGGAGGTCTGTGCGTTCAGGCGATCGCACACTCTGCTCTTTCTACTAAAGTGCTTCTCGTCTCCTCAGCGGAGGTTGATGAGGTATGACATCACAGCACTTTGTTTTATCTTTAAAAGATGAGCAGGGAGCCCTCCACTTCCCCTTAATGAGGCCGAGGTGCCCACAGAATATATGGAGAGTGTGTACGCGCGTGGACACGCTTTCCATCTCGTTTTCTTTGCATGCCAGCAACGTGCGTTTTCGGCTCACGCTTGCTAACACCCGTTTTACCCATAACCCCTGGCGTTTCCTGTCCTGAAGCCATGTGTCAGACCTCATTGGCTACCGCATCAATAACACGGCATCCGCTCGGCTCCAAACGCCGCATCCTAACGGCCAGACGCGCCGCAGATTGGACTGATCGTCTTTTTCTGTTCGTTTTCTCCAGCGGCGGTGATTGAGGTTGATTTTTGGTTTTGTTTATACATCTGCCTCAAGGTGCTGATCCGCAGAGCCGGACGGCTTCTCGTACAGGAGTTACTGTCCAATTACTAATTGCACTGTTTGAGTTACAGGATTTGTTTGTTAACATATTTCTGTAACAAGTGTTTTACCAGAAAGGGGAACAAATGTGTTTCAAGGGTTAACAATGCACTGTAAAAACAGTGAAATATTGGCAGCTCCACAGAATTTTATGGCATAAACACAGATTTTACTGAATCACTGTGGTAAAATCTACATCTATGCAGTAAAATTTGGTTTAAATACCAAACAGCCTGATACATTTGGTATAAATACTGTAAAATTCTGGCCTCCACAGAATTCTATGGTATAAATATGGATTTACATTTTTAACAATTTTATTGTTGTTTTGGATTTTACCTTATCAATATGGTAAAATCTGGATTTATAAAGTAGAATTTGGTATAAATAGCAAATAATTTATACCAAATACATTTGATATTTATACCATAAAATTCTGGCATCCACAGAATTTATATGGTAAAATCCATCTTTTTTTTTTTCTTTTTTTTTTACAGTGTAGGACTAAAATACATAAGTGGGGAAAAAACTAAACCAAGTTGGACTAGAGACAAAACAAACATTATCTATATAAAACAGGAACATTTCACAATAAATCTAGAATTTTAGAAAACATCATCAAACCTCTTTTGAAATGCATTTTTATACAGAATAATTTCCTTTAATACCTTTTTTATACTCTAAAATATCACTTTATCTTATATTATGCAATGTATTTTATTGTTGTTTTTATATTTTTGCTTTTATCGTGTTCCATTAATTATTGTTTTCATAATTAAATGTGGCAAAAAAGCCAAGCGAAAGAGGTGTTGCTGTTAGCTAGCAGTGATGTCTAGGTGCTAATCCTCATGGGAAGCTGCTGGACGCTGGTTTCCCTGACGTGTGCGCCATGTTGCCAGACGAGCTCGTTGCCGGGCGATTAACCGGCGTTAGCCGTCATTAGCCTCTGCGCACCAACGCAGCAGCAGACTGCAATTAACCCGCTAATCCGGCTAATCCACTAATGGAGCTAATCTGATAGACTACAGAGAGGTTTTTCAATTGGCTTTCTCTGGGAGCACACACACACACACACACACACACACAGTCACGCCTGCGTGCACATAGAAGCCCTGGATTCATGTTTCCAGCTCCTGCACACATTTACACACAGCTCCTTAAACAGTCACAGTCGATCTCGGTTAAACCCACTGCATCCGTGACCAGAGTTGGGGAGTAACTAGTTACATTTACTCAATTATATTTACTTGAGTAACTCTTTTGAAAACATGTACATTTACTACACTGTACTTTTTACTTTTACTCCAGTAACTTTATTATGAAGTATCTCTGCTTTTACTTGAGTAAAATTTCTGGATTTTCTCCCCACTGAATGAAAAACAAGTTTTAATCAAAGATTCACCAGACACAGACACACACCTGCAGTTTTTGTTAAAGTTTCATAAGTTTTTTATTCAAAGAAACTGTTTTGAAATGTCTTTTTTTGCTTGATTTAGTTATTTTTTTGTTAGTTATATTAATTATTGTCATTTTGGTCCTTAAAATATCAAAACTTTAGAGTTTGTCCTGTTGACAATGTAGTTTTATAAATGTGAAATGATTGATAATTCGATCAGTTACTCAGTACTTGTATAGACTTTTTACAGAATACATTTTTACTCATTTTACTTACTTAATTTCCTGGATTTATATTGAAGTAGTGATGATCTTACGTGGGTAAATTTTTTGGGTACTCTTCCCTCCTCTGTCCATGACCCATAAACTCAAAGAATCCATTGGAAATGTTACACAAATTAAAATTTTGTTCAACAACTTTATTACACTCTTAAACAAAGAAAAACATAAGAAAAGGAAAAAGTTATATAGCAGATAAAATGGATTACTGCAATTATAGTGGTGCTACACAAAACTATAAATTTAGCATGTGATTCGCTGTTATTGTCACAGTTTGTAAAATTATAATATTTAACAAGGAAAATTGTAAACGGTAAAATTAAAAACAAAACCGCACAGCATTCTGGGGGGTGTAGGCAGAGGAAAGTCATTATCTGTATCACTGCTAGCTAAGCAAGGTTGGTGGACTCAACTAACTCCCTCACTCTTTGGTTACCTAGCAACAACTTGTCTAGTAACTTGTGGTTACCTAGCAACAACCTGCTGAGTAACTGTCACAGCAGCAGTTTAAAGTTTCACCTCTGTTCCTCAGAGCTGCTTAAAATAAACAGTGTGGAGTGAAAACTGTGGATAAAACAGGAAAGATCAAGCCAACAGTTTGGCAATATTTCAGATATTTAAAACAAAAAACTGATCAATAATTATTGATATTGATTGATATGAAATGCTTATGTCGTGATACGTTTTTCAGCCAGTGAAAGTGGGTGACTGAAAAGTTTTAAGATTGTTTTTGAAGAGTCTCTTAAGATTGCTTGAGCATGCCCTCATAAAAGTTTAATCTAATAGCCAACAGATCGATTTTAAAATGAACTCTTAAAGAAACGTCACAAAAACAAAATATCCCAGTAAAGTCTCGGTGTTGAGAATGGGGCAAATGTCAATCTTGTCCTCCCATTTTGAGAAATCAGCTTTTTAATTTGTAGATCATGTTTGCCAATTGTCCATTTTTTGGGTTATTTAATGAAACACTTTTTTGTTTTGATTTTGCACCAAACTTAAAATTTTTATTTGCTCTCCAATTGTCCAATCAGTGTCAGGAGTCATTTTGAACCCCTGCACAGAGCCATACAACAAGACGTGTTGAGAGCAAAACGAGTGCTGAATAATCCAAAAAGTAGTGACACTTTTCCCCACCTATCTTTTTTAATTAACTCTCAGTGGAGTTGTGGAGAACCATTTATCTCGTTGCCTGCACAGAACAACGGAGGGAAATGCTGGCAGATTAAAACCTGAATGCTAAAGGACAAAAAAGGACAAACTAAATTTTTTAATTTATTGCTAAATTTAAAAAAAATGCCTTTGCTTTCCACTTCCTTTCTTTTTTCTTCTGGTCTAATTGCAGAGATATAACTTTGGAGCTGGGAGACATTTTGAAAGGCTGGTTGAAGGAAGGAGGAGGTAGCCTGTCTGTCTCCGGCTTCAAACACTGACCTTGGCTGCTAATGATGCTAACTGAGCTAATCACAGCTCTATACAAGTGTGTGTGTGTGTGTGTGTGTGTGTGTGAGGGGAGCATGTGAAAGTATCATAATCAGAGCTGCTAACGCTAATGAGCCGGCCCTTTGAAGAGAACCGCCTGGAAAGGGCTCCACTCCTGCCAACTCATTAGCTGACCTGAGGAGTCCCTGATTAGAATGTGTTTGATGAAATTTTCAAGGATTTTCCATTGGAAAAAAAAAATAATAATTTTGGAAAGTGGGATAAATATCACTTTTTTGCGGGGTGTTCGTTGGGCTCCAGTTGATGCAGAAAGTGGGAGGTCATTCACATCAAAGAGCCCTCTGAAGAGCGCCAAATGAGATTGATTTGCTGTTTTTATTGGAGATGAAATGTACAAATATGTTTAATGGGAGGAGAGAGCAGGAAAATGTATCCGTTCCCTCTTCAAACAGTCTTTTTTTCTCCCCCCAAAACACAAACACGTGTGATACAAACAGCTTAGCGGCTCCCTTTCCTCGGTGTCACCAGCAAGCGAGCGAGCGAGCGCCGGTAAATTAGCTTCCGTGAGAAAGTGAACAGGACAGGTTTCTCAGTTCTGAAACTCCTCTTTAAAGCGAAGACACAGCCTACACGCGCGGCGTATAACAGCGCAGTCACATCATCTCTCATTTGACTGTGTGGGGAAGGAGCCTGGATCAAAGTGGGAAGATGCCAGGCAGGAAATTATCTGCTACAACGCCGCGACTATAAAGTCTTACAGCCTTTGGTGTGTTGACCAAAAGGATCTCGTAACATTTTTCGGTTGTAATGTTCACTTTGCATTAAATTCTGCAGCTTTCATCACCTTAATACCTGTTGGCACACCTGATGAAAAAGTCTGATGTCTTTATGTGGTTTATGAACATTCAAGGGGATGTAATGCCACTTTATAAATACAGCTGTTCCTACCTGAAGATGCCATTCATTCACACCAGTGGGGCTGCACTGTGACTTTGATTTAGCAGATTTCATCCGACACTAAAGAAAACTTCAGCTCATCCTGTGTCGTAGCGAGTATTTAAGGCTGGACGGTGTGGCTGAAAAATCTAATATAAGAGCTTCACATCAGTCAATATCAATAATTGCTCAGTTTTTTGTTTTCAATAATCAGAATTCTGCCATATTGGTGGAGTAACATTTCCTCTTTTGTCCATAGTTTTCTTTCCACGCAGTTATGTTATTTTTAAGCAGACATAAGGAAAAACCTAAACCTTAAACTGCTGCTGCACAAGTTTAAGGTTTCGGTGTTGCTAGGTAACCAGGGAATGCATGAGTTGCTAGGTAACCAGAGTTAGAGAGTTAATGTGGCCAACGTTTCTCAGCTGGCTGAGAGAGGGTGAGCAGCTAAAGCCTTTCTCCCTGAAAACAACTTTTTGAGAAATTTTGAATTAATGTGAGTTCCAACAACATTTGATTTCTTTTTGGGATCAATAAGGTATTTTTTTAATTGAATTGAATTTGAATGTTGCGTGGGTCTGGATTGGAGTTCAGTCAATATATATATTTATATATATATTGAATATGCTATCAAACCTAGTATTTATTGATATTGATCACTTGTCAATTTCGATATGTTATTACTGACAATGTTGAAATAAAATAAGATTATAGTTATAGTATAATGAGTCATAATATTACCATAATAAAGTGAGGATATTACCAAAGTCATAATACTACGACTTTATTCTTGTAATATTGCAACTTTATTTTTGTTTTGTAATATTATAACTTGTAATTTTATGATTTTATTCTTGTAATTTTATTTTGTTAGCATGGTCCTAATACTCTGTTGTACTTTTCAACTTAATATAAATAATATATTAAAAAAAAAAAAAAAAAGGAATCCAAGAGTTTTCCTGAACTTATGCATTTTTGCAAAAAGCGTCAAATCTGTAAATAAAGCCAAACAACCGTGAGAGAAGTCTGGACTGCAGAATGAGCTCTGGAACAATTTCCAGAAGTTTCAGGTTGGGCTGCTGGATGTTTGACTCCAGGTAGGAAACCAGCTCTAATTTCCCAGAGAACTTGTGCCGGTTGAAGCAGAGCTCCATCCCAGTCTGATGTGTTTGTCTGCCTGGCTGTGCGTGCGTTTCTTCTTTCTTTGAGTGTGTTTGAGTTGGAGTAGTTTAGGCAGGCAGAGAGCTGGATCTCTGATGGTGAATTTGAGCAGACTGGAGTCTGAGAGGCAGTTCAAAGACCACAGGCCCACAGGCAACAACCAACACTGAGGCCACTCTGCGTGTGCGTGTTTGCACAAGCGAGGGAAGCGGGGAGGGAGCGAGCATGTTTGGTCTGTGGGTGCATGTTTTTTTTTGTCCTAACATGTGCATTTTGATTTTCTTGTATTTATGAGAGTGTGTGGGTTTTGCCTTGATGGCGTACATCCTAATCTCTTTTCTTTTGAAAGAGTTTCGCTCCACATCCTCATACATGCCACACAGTAAAAATGCCAGCATCAAAATCTTTGGTGTAGTGTTAAATAAAAAGTGTTGGTGTTGCTTTAGCAACAGACGGCTTCAAAATAACCCAGTCAGTGTAACTTCTGGCATATGGTGCTGATTAAGCCACTCCTTCGTGTAACGGCTGCAGCAAAGTGCATTCTACTTTGTGGATGTTTAAAAAGGCAACATTGCAAGCAGCTAATGTTAAGCCTCTGAGAGGATGGGGGGATTTTTTCTTAATTCCCTCACACAAGTTGTTTGTTTCCTCAAAAATCACTGTCAAAACAAGAAGATTCATGTTCTTAATCCAACATAAATGCTGAATGTCTTCAGTTGGTAGCACTGTTGCCTGGATCATTTGCATGTTCTCCCTGTGGTTCTCTCTGGGTACTCCAGCTTCTTCCCACAGTCCAAAAACAAGACCGTCAGGTTGGTTGATCTCTCTGAATCAGAGATCTGCAACCTTTGCAACCAGGAGAGACACTGTTACTGTCAGGCCAGCCAAATAAAACTCGTTTAGAGCCGCAAGACAACTAGGAATTTTAGATAAATATAGGAAATGAAGGGAATTTGTATAGTAAAATGGGACGTCCCATTTTATTTCTATTTTTAGGATTTGAAATAAAGGTAAAGATCACATTTAGCAAAAAAAGATTATTT